GCTCTGGAAATGTGCCAGGGGCCACCAGAGCCTCCCGCCCCAGATGAAACCTGGCAGCAGCAGATAATTCACAAGGCAGATGACTGCAGTTGTCTTGAGGGCTGGCCCTGCGCTTTGGTGAAATGTGAGACCCACCAAACCAAGACCACGGTCTCATGCTGGGATTTGGTGGAGCCCGGGCTTGTCCCGGATATGTGCGCTGAGCTCAACTAGAAAGGATTTTGTAAACAGTTCCTTCGTCTGGATCAGTAATAATCCAATTTTCAGATCTTGGAGCCAGACACTCCCAGAGGTGCCCCCCCGCCCCTTATAGTCCTGGGCTCTAGCTTTCTGTGTCAGGTCCATTGGCATCACTTAGGGACTCTACGGACATCGGCACTTCCATGCTTTTGAGGCTGTTCTTCCCCTCCCCCAGTGACTAACCGCTCTCAGCCCAGCCCCTTGTGACCACAGTTGGGCAGAGCCACGGGCAGACTGTGTGCCAGCAGGAAGGTAGGCTCCACCCTGAGGTACCTGTGGATTGAGCCCCTACAAGTGAGGACTTAAGCCTGCAGGACCAACCTTTGTTAGGGTCTCTGAGATAAGATTCCCTGGGGTTTCCTGGTTCAGCCATCAAGGTGTTTCATTCCCTTGATAGGCAGGAAGTTCCTCTTTTTATCCAACTCAAAATGCCTCCCACTGTAAGTCAAATGCATTTCCTCTTGCTGGCCTCAGTGAGATTCCACGCCCTTGCTTTCCTGCCCCCCTGTCTCAGAGTCCTTCATCCGGGTCCAGCATGATTCAGTGCACCGGGCAGATGAATTGGATCCTTTAGTAAATCCCTTCCTGATTTGTATGGCCAGTGAATTGTATTTTCCTGTATCAGATTTTCCTAAATCTGCCCATGGTACCTGCCTTACTGGGCTCTGCCTACCCAACTATCTTAAAAATAGGCATGTTTATTTTCAGCTCAACAAGTTACAAAGTGCTTTCTCCCATTCTCACGTAGCCCACCGAGAGGCAGGCTAAGGCCGACTGCGCTCACATGGTACACAGATGAGCGCCCTGGCGGCTGAGGGGCTTACCCGAAGCCCACAGCCGGAAGGTCAGGGCCAGGGTCCCACTCAGGAATTCTGACTCCAAGTCCAGTGCTCCCTTTCTCTGCACCACAGCTGCCTCCCTGAGCATACTGGCTGCCTGGACCCGGAAAACCCAGAGGACACTGGGGGCTGGGGGCGAGGGGCGAGGAGGAACTTGCCCAGAATTAAACCGCTGATGGGGATGCTGCCCAGAGTGGCTGGCAGACACATAGCCCTGCTCCCCACAGCGAGCCCCCAAACTGCCTGGTGGCCACTCGACGCTCACGGCTTCTACAGCAGAAATGCCAAGGTGTTTGCAAGACGTTGTCCTCTTCTGGGACAGGGGTCATGATGTCCCGATTCATAAATCTCAGCACTGTTTATTCAGCAACACATACTGAGACCCCCTCCCTCCCAGCGCACGCACACGCAACACACACACACACACACACTCACACCCTTAGAGCTGAGCAGTAGACAAGGTACGCTTGCCTGTTGAGAGTGATGTCCCATCCCCTCTTCCTGCCCAGTCCTGGCCTGGGGGACTGTTTCCAGCCCCTCCAAAGGAGGGAAAGGCACCCTCCACCAAGACACTTCACTGAGCATTACCTGAAGGCTGACTGCCCCAGCACGCACGCTCAGGTCGGGGACTCAGCCGCTGTTTTCTTGGCCTGCCTGCATCTCTCTCCACTCAGGTCACACAGCGCAGAGGGAGAGAGAGGGTCCTCAAATGACTCCCCGTCCTGTCTAGCCAGCCGGTGTTTAGTACGAACTTCCCAAAAGAAGAGGATGACTTTGTCCCTGATGGCTTCCCCCCCACCAGACAGAAGGAACAGCTGCTGACAAGTTTGCATGCAAAGTGGCACTCCCTACTCTTTGCCGAGCAGTCCGAGCCGTTTGCTTGCTGGGAACCGGCCCAGAGATGCATGGGTATCTAGTTGGCCCGTCTGGGGACTTGAACCTGCTCTCTGGAGCGTGGGTCTTCCGCCTGCAGAGAGGCGAGGAGGGCGTTGTTGGCTGCAGGGCGCAGAGGCGGGCCTCCTCCACGCCCCCAGCCCGGAGCCCCCAGCCCGGAATCGGGTGCTTGCTGCCTGCCAACTGCGCCCTCTGGCGGGGACCCGCGGCGCGATCTTGCGCCCCTGGCTGGGGGACAGCCGCAAGGTGACTTTGAGCAGGGATCAGGCACGGTGAGGAGTGAGTGTATAACGGTACAGGACTTGGGGTTTCAGAGCTGTATTCTAATTGGGTGCCTTCTTCACAGGATCATTTGCTGACAAGTGACTGAGCAGGGAGGGGCGCCGTAGGCTGAGAGGGGCTGCTTACTGTGAAATCCCTTCAGGCCTCCTGGGCACATAGGACTGGGAGAGGGAGTTGGGATGGGCTGGAGTTACCACCGGCTCTCTTAGCTCCTAAGCACACTGAGGGGGCTGATTGTGGACAGCATCCTAACATGGACGTGCTACGTCCCGTCTCCAAGGCTGCTTCTGCCAACTGGATCAGTCTCTGGGTGGCTTTCCCTGCTGGAAGGAGCCAAGACCAAAACCTCCCTTCTCCCCAGCCCCTAGGTAGGTGGGCCTGCTCACAGTCTTCCTGCATCTTCATCTGGCCAGAGGAGCAAGAAGCCAAAAAAATCTTTCCATCTTCTACTGTGGACCCCCTCCCCTAGCCTCTCTTTACCCTGAAACAGAACCAGCTAGTTACTTTGTATAGCAGGGGTCAGCTGCCTGGGTAAACCAGGAGTCCACTGTCTGAGCTCGCTCCATTTTCCCTAGCCCATAGCAAAAAAAGAAAAAGTGTTAGACCAAGATAATACCGCCTTTGAATATCTCAGCTTGATATTTGCCTCCATGAGTGAGAAAGGCCAAATGTTATCTGCAAGTTTAATCTTCTGTATTCAAAATTCCTGCCCCCTTTGTCTGCCAGTGCATTCGCAAATCAGCCATTCACTTGCTCTAAGCCTCTGTGAGTTTTTCCTCTTGAACCTGTTTTTTCTATCTGCCAATTGACTCATTTCTCAGCTCCAGCTTCCAAGGGGCCTCACCTTCGAGCCTCCTGCCCCGAGGGCACCTGGAGGTATCAGTTTCCCTTTTCTCTGCTCCGTCACGAGCCAGATGCCACTTGGTTTGATCTCCTTTCTACCTCCTTGTCCCTGTCTCATTCTCCTGCCAGCCTGGCTTGGGTGCGTGGTCAGTCTCTTTCCATCCCGGGCGCACACGGGTAAAAATCCACCCAAGTCTGGCTCTTCAAGCCCCGTCAGAAGTGGGGGGCTGCAAGCCCAGGTCCCTCGGGCCAGGCCCCGGCCAAGAGTGGGGCTGCAGACGTTGGAGGCAGCTGGTCACAAGGCAGAGAGGGAAATGCCACGGGAAGCAGAGGGAGAAGATTGTAGTGAGAAGCAGCCCCTTGGAGCCAAAGTTGTGGAAATATGTGGTGTCCAGATTGTCTGGTTCTTCCACGTGGGTCAGCCGTAGCCCTGAAGTGGGCTTCGGGCTTCCACTCACCTTCAGCTTTCAAAATCAGTGAGAACTTACTTTGGCAATTTAAACAAAAAGAAATTTTCCCCCCCGTTTTGGAAAGAAAAAGTTTAAGCTACTAGGGGGAAATGAAAGATGAGACAAAATTAACCTGGTTGCCTCCGTGGCCCTCACTGAAGAAGGAATGATGGAATTGTGGGGGTGGGGGGGGCGAGTGCTAAAGATGGCGGCCCAGGCAGTCCCCCCTCCCCCCACCTGTTGCCCCTCCCCCCACACCTGTTGCCCCTCCCCCCACCTGTTGCCCCTCCCCCCCACCGCTCTCAGGATCTGTGACTGTGAAGTCTCCTCTCTAGAGCACAGGCGCATTCCTAGCTCTTTGTCTCAGTCTGGAGTTTATATAAGGTTGACTAACAGAAAGCAGGCATTTCGGTCAGATACGCTTTAGCTGTAAATCGGTTCAGTCAGTATCCTCTGCATTCATACTTCTTTGTCTTTTTTTTTTTTTTAAACAAAAGGAAAAAAAAGTTTAAACCCCCCTTTTCCTTCTACTGCAGGAGGTGAGTGTGTGGGTGTCCTGTAGAACCATTGGCATTCACCCGGCTTCGGCCCCAGTCTCCAGATTCGCCATCCCCACCCCACCCCCTCCCTCCATCCCCTGCTCTCCACCCCAGAAGGGGACCCCTTGCCACCATCATTACGGTTACGTTAAGATGCCCAAATTTTCCATGACATATCCCATCTTCCGACCACGTTCAGTAGTGACGACTTTCATACAGGGATATAAATGGGGGTGGGGGGAGGACGTAGCCAGTGGGGAGGGGGGGGAAGTGGTTTTGGGGGGGGCTGGAGAATGGAGATCTTTTTTGTCTTTTTTTTTTTAAACAAATTTGTCATTGAATGGATCCAAAAACAAACAAACAAGAAAAAGCGAAACAAAAAAAAAAAAATTTTTTTTTAAATCCCTTCCCCAAAAGATTTTTTTTTCCTGGACACAAATTGCTTTGTTTCCTGTCACGTTTTAATATCAATATTAACACAATGTGTAGTCTAAAACTAGTTCCTTTGTAGTTTGCATGGGATGTGAATGCTGTCTCAACGTGCCCAGATCTAGACAAGACTGCATGAGCACCAATTCAGATGTGAAAACCAATCTCTCTCTCTCTCTTTTCCTCTCTCTCTCCCATATATATCTCTATTTCTCTTGTGATAATTTGGTGGGTAGTGAAGCACCTCCGGTTGGTTGCTGTAGTGTGTTGAATGATTGTTTTTTTATTCTCTCTATTTTCGGAGCTCCGAGCTTCTTAGTAGTAGCCTGGGCTGAGTGTTCTTGAGTCCCTGCTGATGTTTTCGCATGGCCTTGGTTGAGTGTTAGAAGTTGGGCCTCAGCTGTTTTTCTCGAGTGTTTGGCTTGTAATGACCGGTGCATGCCTGGCTTCTGGCCTCATACCCAGCTCTATTCTCTGCACACCAGTCCTGAATAGCTACAGTGCTCAACCGAATTTTGGCGCGCCCGCTTCCCCGGCAGGCTCCAACCCCGCGCGGCCCGGAGGCTTCCCGGGGGCCAACAGCCCAGGACCTGTCGCCGATCTGTATGGCCCTGCCAGCCAGGACTCCGGAGTGGGGAATTACATAAGTGCGGCCAGCCCACAGCCGGGTTCAGGCTTCGGCCACGGCATAGCTGTAAGTACCTACCCGCCCCCCCCCCCCCCCCCCCCCTTCCCCCCCCCCCCCCCTGGGAGAGTATGCCAGAAGAGCCCAGGGCTGGGGGCCAAGGAGAGGACAGTGGGTCCCCACTCCCCCGTCCACATTCCGTCAGCCACCTGGGGCTGAAGCTCCTGCTTCGATTTTTCCTGAGCAACCGGTATGTGGCCGTGTGATGGAGTGGAAGGAGCATGGGCAGGTCAAGTTCAGATCCCCACTCCATCACCTTCAGCCCATGCAACCTTAAGCCTCTTACATAACCCATCGGAACTTCACTTCCCTGGCTGCAAAACGACAATAAGCGTGCCTCCCTCGAAAGATGGTGTGAGAATTAATGGAAACAGGATACGTCACCTGCTAGCACATAACAGGCCCTCGGTATCGGCCCCCCTGCTTGATCCCTGCCTCCTGGAGACAGCCATGTGGGCTGGGACTTGAGGAGCTGGGGGACCCCCCACCCCCCTCCTCAGGATAGCAGCCTTGGTCGGTCGAGGCCCCGGGCCTGAGGTCCAGAGGTAGCACTCGGCCCTGGGACACGGTGTGGGGTGCACGCTACCTCCCAGGTGGTTTCCTTTGCTAATGTTTCTTACAGTTTCCAGGTTCCAAGTAAGTTCCCATTTGCGTTCTTTAGCCGCAACCCCGCAAAGGCCAGATGCGTTTGATATTTGTAATGCTCTGTGGTTCTATAATCTAACTAATCCAGGCAATGGAAATTTGCTTAACAGATTTGCATGCCATTTTCAGATTGTATTGTTCTTCCCCCTCCTCGTGTGTGTGAGCATGAATGTGCCTGAGCCCACTCGCTCGCTGTCCCTTCCATTTGGGAAACAGAAATTTGGCCACCCTCCGTTCTAGCCAACCTCAGCATTTTGGAGGCGGTTTGGTTTGGGGGCTAAGATGGAAGTGTCTGCTGTTCCAGGCCCTGTCCCTGTCAGGAGAGCCCCACCTCAGGGGCTGAGCTGGGGAGAACAGGGCAAGTGCGGACAAGTCTGGGGCACCAGGGCACCACTCCCTGCCCACCCCCCACCCCAGCATTGCAAACCACGCACACACACACACACACACACACACACACACGGGTGCACGCACGCATGCAGGAGTGCGCACATACACTCTTAACCCACGCACACGCACTCTTTCTCTCACAGACTGTCTTACACACGTGTGCACACACACACACACACACACACGTTGCCGCCACCCCTGGCCCATGCAGTCTGGGTCCTTGTGCAGTTCCACTCCCGAACCAATATCACTTAAGTCAGGAGTCTGATGAGTCGGATCCACTCGGCTGAGCTATAGTACCAGATCCCCAGAGTATTATTATTCAGTTTAGAGCTGCATCAATTTGGGAGACCATCTTTCACCACCTAGAGCACAACTCATTTCCATTTGCAGCGCCCAGAAACACAGACCCTATTCGTTCTTGAAAACCTGGGTCTCTTGACCTGTGGGTCATGGCGCTTTTCTGAGATGACCACGCGTGGTATCATGTTTTGTCTGCGCTGGGCTTGCTTTCTCCCCAGCTGGAGCTGTCGGGACTGTGGGCAGAGACACGGGTATCTTTACCCTCCGGGGTCCAAGGCAGCAGCGCCCAGCATTTTGGGCCGAGGCCTCCCTTTCCCCTCAGCCACACACCCCCCTGGTGCATCTGGCTCTCAATTACCCCCTGGGCAAGCAGACGGGCTTGGGGCGGGGCGTGGGGGCTGGAGGACCCGGGGCCAGGGAGGACGGCCTCCGGGCCCCTTGTGGCGCAGTGTCTCGGAATTACATATTCATGCTGGCAACCACGGTCTAGTTCTAGAGATAATTTCCTTTCCCAGAATATGACAATCTGTTCCCATGTATAGCGTGCTGATGACCTTAACAATTGTGCAATTTTAGGGACCTTTGATTGCAACGGCCTTTACAAATGGATACCATTGAGCAGGTGCTTCCGTTGCCACCCCACTCTGAGGTACTACCTTCTCTGCCCTGTGTCTCCGCCCTGCCGGGCACGTCGTACATGTGTGTGCCCTGGCATGCAAGTACGCACGGGCCCTGGCCCCATCGTGCCAACACCTCTCTCTCCTCTTCCCTGACCCCTTGGCAGGGGGGTGGGGGCAAAAAATCCAGTCTTTTACTCTCTCTTCCTTTCCTCCAGCTGTAATCATGACCCCCACCTTTTTTTTTTTAATTCTTCTCAATTTGATTCTTTTGATTCCCTTTCTTTATCTTCTTCCCCACCCCCTCATCTCTCTCCGTCTTAAAATACAATCAAAAGTGTAGGAAACTGGAAGGTGATCTGGTGCTGTTGTCTGTCCCAGGGGGATGGAGGCAGGAGAACACTGGGCTTCAGCCAAGTCTGGGGGCGGGGGCCAGGGCCAACCCCTCCAGGGTCCCACGAGATGGCCTTTCAGGTGTCTGGACCCTTTTGGCCCCCCAGCGCTTGCTGGCTTTGGCCAGTGGGGTTCATGCAAACAGCCAGACTCCATCTTTTAGTGAAAAGAAAACATTTTTGCCAGTAACTACTGAGTAATTATCCAGATTACCGTACGAAAAGCAAATTAAATTAACGACATCACCTGCATAACGTGGATTTGGATCCCTGCCAGTTTCCTAACCTTTTAAACTGAGCTCAAGTTAATTAAACATTTTTTTAAATCACTTTGATGGGGGTATGGAAGGGGCGGAGTGGAGGAGAAGGGGGTTGGGGCAGTCAGTGAAGGAGCCTCTTGCCACAGTCTCATTGGAAAATGAGTATCTGTTGCTCTCAGGAGGAACCCCGAGAAGGAAGAGGGGTTCTCTCATGAAAGCTAAGTGCGTACTGTGGTAGCGCATTAGTCTGGGGGCTTGAGACGTGGGTCTGTCTCTCTGGAAGAGGGAGGGTGACAGCTGAGGCTGGGCCTGGGTCCCTGCTGGGGCAGGAGCACCTTTCCCTCTGGGAGTTGGGATGTAGGAGAAGCAAGGCTGGAGATGGACTTGCCACTTTGGTTTGCGGTTAGGAGGACCTCTCTCTCATAGAGGGGGTCACTCTAGGCCCCCAAGTCAGCCAGGACTCTCTCGGGTGGGCCCAGTTGGGGGACCAGATTGAGTTGAGCTCCATAAATCTCTTTTGGATTTCTCTAATGTTGCTGCTAAGGAATCACCTCAACTAATGCAACCGCCTCTCTTAACCAAATAAACCCCATGTGTGAATTCTCCCAACCCCTCACCTCCACTTCCCTTTGAGCACTGACCCAGCCATTGCTGGCCAGAGGCAGAGGCCACTAACGGTTTGAAGGAGAGCTACTCACTACTAATTAAGCTGGGTTTGGGGGCCCAGGGGAAGTAAGGTTCCTCTGAGAGCAAAGTGGACTGAACTCCCCAAGAACTCTGGGGATTGGAGGTAGCTCCAGCCCTTTGTGGAGTCAGGTGATGAGGGGATGGGACAGCTACTAGGCACAGCAGACCCCTGCAAGGTCAGACACTGCGGCTGCCCGGCTGTCCTTGCACTCTCCCTCCCCTGGAAATGAGGATGGGGTAGGGCTTCCCACCACAGCCCGCCCTCCCCTCCACGGCCACTATAGGAGCCAGGGGAGGGCAAGGCATCCAGCCCATCCTCCTCAGCCAACTCTAGGACCCGGTTCCCACAGAAGGATAACGTAGCCAAGAGATTGGTGGTAACACCCCACCACCCTCCTCCAAAACGGTTGAAGTGAACCAACTGAGTCACATGTTTGAACCGAAACACACACTTTGTCCATAACCGAGGTTTCGTTCTCTTGACATTTAGTCCCCTCCACAGAGGAGGTGCCCAGGCTCACGGTGGACTCAGGGAGACTCAGCAAGTCTGTGCGTCGTGGGCCTGTTTTTATTTTCTATAACCAAAGCTGGTTATTTGTTGCATATGTTTTTCCTGACCTCGAGTCCTCGATACGAAATACAATTTTTTTTAGAGTTTTTTAAATTTGCATTTTCAGTTATTGGCAGTCATTGACGGTATCTGATAAAGTAGTTTTTTAAACATTTGGCTTTGAAAACCCGAAGTTTAACCAGAACAAAAAGCATCCCTCGTCAGTTTGCAATTCACCCAGTGTAGCCAAACACCCAGCATGGCCGCATTTGCTGACCACATTTCCTGCCACTACCCCACCCCACCCCCAAGAATTCACCAGTGCCGTATCAAATCAGCAAAATAGCAAACGAGCACAATGAGTCGCAGAGCTGTCCGCTCCCCAGTGTCAGGCGTGGTGAAGATGTCAGATTTCCCAAGCCGTGATCCCAGTAAGCCGTTAGCCTGGCCGTTTCCAGACGTACTCAGTAGCCCGATGTAGTCGTACTGTGAAAGCGCTAGTTAAAAAGTTGGAATAAATAGTATGTTTGCCTGACACATCTTCTCTCTCCTCCCACTTCCCACTTTATGTTCTCCTCTGGGCATCTGTGACCTTCCGCGCCCTGCAGAGCATACCTGGATGTCCAGGCAAGACTGGGCGAAGTTTCTGAGTGGCCCTTTGTTTAGGTGATGTCATCAGACCTGGACCCCCACCAGCCTCACTCCCCATCCCAACCAGAGATGGCTCACTTCGGATCGAGGGTTGACTACATCTCATCATCTCACGAATCTGCTGTAATATAAGACAACAGCTTTTAAATGTGTATATAACCCATGATTTTTGGTTTTGTTTTGTTTTGTTTTTCTTGACGGTTTCCCTTCCTCTTCTCTCTTCCCCCCCTTCTCCTTTTAAATCTCTTTGAATCACATTTGGTAGTGATTTTGACTTAGTCCGGTAGTCATATAGCTTTAATATCTAGTTAAAAGCTAACCATAGTATAATTGTTATATTAAGGTATTATTTTTTTCTTAAAAAGATTTTTTTTTGCTTGTTTTGATTCTGTTCTCACTTTTAAAGGATGCTGAGATGGTAATATTACTCAATATTTTGGTACCAGTTCTGAGACTGTATGGCTTTTCCGGTGGAGCTTGCGCACCCGTGGAAGCAAAGTTGTGAAGTGTGGAGCGGGAGGTGGGCATAAACTTTCTCCTTTGCGTTGTATAAGTGAGATGTAGTAGGCTAATTACCAGACTCTGTAGTGGTTCTTTTTTGTGACGTCTCTTTGTTAACCTAAGTATATCTATTTTCGGCAATAAGGTAAGGACGACCATGTTTTGAGTGTCCTCCTTTTCTATAAGTGCTTTTTTTCTGTTGAAAGAGGTGATATTATAAGGTTTTTTGAAATTGTGAATTCTAAAAAAAAAGAAGCGTTGTAAATACAATTCCATTAACTACATAGAAACTATTAAGAAAGAGAGAATCAAAAATATTTTTGTGAGGGAGTTGGTCCCAGGCAGTTCGATGCTCTGTGGAAGGAGGAGGAGGGGAAGGCATGATAAACCAAGTCGGTTCCCAGGCGGAAGGACACCCCCCCCCCCCCCGCTGCCAGGACGACCCCCCGGGAAAAGTTAGAACACTGTTTAGCTCCTTCTGTCTGTGTGATAGACCTAAGAACTATATTAGTGTCATACCAGCATATTAACCTCTCGTCTGTGCACAGCTTCAAATGTTACCGTCTAGTTAGATTTTTATTTAAAATATGAAAGACTGCTTTTCCCAAGACGTTTTTTAAAAACAAAGCTACAATTTTAATATTTAACATATTTAAAGTTTCAAAGCACACCTGTTTGGCTTGGGTGGGGAGGGGGTGGGGGGACATTCTTTTTCAGTCTTAATTTTTAAATATTTGATCATTTTCTATTGTCCAACCATTTCAGCACCTCCAAAGGTCCCTAGGACACTTTGCCTCTCTTTGCTCCCCTGCCCCCCCCACCGGCTCCCCCCAGCTCCGGGGGTGGGGGGGGAGCTCGGGCCAGGGACAGAGAAGCCTGCATTAATGAAAACTTTTCTCCATTCACTTCCTATTTACAAATTAGGAGAGCAACCTTTTGGTTTATATATTTTTTTTAATACCTCAGTGCTGCAAGTATCACCAGAGAGGCTATGGAAGAATTTTTTTTTTAATTTATTGTAGATGTAAACAGAATTTTAAAAATAAAAAAAGTATAAACATCGCTGCACTGTGACTGGTGGGAAAAACTGACAGTTTCCTGTTTGCACATGTTTAACATTTGGCTGTTATAATATATGGTCCTCAGCTGGGGAAAGATACTTATGATGAAGGATATTTTTTAATTTAACTTTTTTTTAATATTGGTAATAGGTCGGCAACAGCAACTATAGAAGTACAACTCAATAGATGGCATTAAAACATATTGTAGTGTGGATATATATTTTTTTCTTTTTTAAAATGTGATATTGACGTTTTATTAATATTTTTTAAATTGTTACGTTTATAAATTTGGTACTTAAGGCACAGCCGGTATGAGACACTGAATGCGACATTTATTATAAAGAGCTGCTGCACTCCTATTTTTATAAATTTTACTAACAAAGTAGACTAATGTAGACATTCACAGACATGGTAGGGCAAAAGCATCTTCAAACAAAAGGCTCCAAAATGCTAACTCAGAAAGAAAGAAAAAAAGCCTTTTTCAATTCTAATTAAACAGCAACGACACTTAAAAAAAAAAAAATCTTGTTTTTCCGATTCAATGTTAGGTTGTTTGGTGAGGGGTTTTTGTTTTGTTTTGTTTTGTTTTTTTCTTTCTTTCTTTTTTTATTTCCAAACAACCAAGTTAAGTAAAATGCTGGGCGCGTTTAAAATATCAAAACTTGTTCAAGTGATAAAATAACAAAATAGAAGTTTTATGAAAAAAAGAAAAAAAGAAAAAAGACCATAAATTCCCAGAAATTCAGTGTCTAGACTAGGGAATTTAATTACTCTTTTGTCCATGTTGGTGATGTACTGTAGTACCTTCCTTTCTCTGCATCCCCGTCACCTCAGAGAAGACTCTTCGTTGATCACTGTCTGTTAATAATGTATAAAATGGCTATCCTGTAAGTGTGCTGTCCTCGTACTAGTGTAGTGACTTTTTTTCTTCTCTTTCTTCTAGGACATATTGATAGGTATAACGTAATTAAGGTTTTAAAAAAAAATAGACATAGTTATTCAGATTTAGGACCAGTAAGGATAGAACTTTCTCTTATTTATGAAAAAAAAATTGCTAATAATTTTGGGGCAGTTTTTTCCTTTTGTTTTTTTTTTTCAATTTCGACTTTTTACTTTATTTTTGCTGATCTGATGTGGTTTCAACTAACCCAAGGTCTCATGATGTTCAAATGCCGGCAGACTCTATGGCGTTTTGTAGATTCCCAATCCCCCC